TTTGCACCTTGACCTTTGATCTCGTGGCTTGAACATTCGGTGTGCAGAGGATTGTGTGGCTGGTGTACTGTAAAATGCCAACGGATGCAATAGAAAATACGTTTTTTTTTGGGCATGCCGAATTTCTATACATATATATGAATTCAGCATGCCAAAAAAAACGATATATATATATATTTTAAACATTACAAAATAACTGAGGGCAACCATGCGAGTAAAAATAGTTTGTAACGGGAAAAGTACAAATTGACTTTGGGAAAGTTATTTCCCAGTGGGCATGGTAAAAACGTGTTAACCCATAAACCCGTAACTAAAACAAGATGCCCACTAGGTGGTGTACGTGTCAAGTGTTATTTGAATATTCATTTGCTGCATGAAAACCATTGTTAGTTACTATGGAAGAATACTTCACAAGGTTGGGATTAATTTGAACATGTGTTGCTCAGTGGAGGCAGGACATGCTGCACAATAACCTGTGGAAGAGACAGAGGTGGCATTTGTTAAGTAAGAGGACAACAAGAAGGCAGTGAAATGATCACGGACACACAGCTGTTTTGCAACAAATTGTTGATCAGGGGGGTATTCCAGAAAGGAGGCTCAACAAACTCTGAGTCTACCCCTGAACTCCGAGTTGACTTACTCTGAGACGGGAAACTGAGTATCCGGTTCCAGAACAGCTGATCTGCATTAGTTCAATCAACTCTGAGTATGTTCACCTTGAGTTAAGCTCGTGCATGACGATTATATATTTTCTGTTGTCACCATGACAACAGAAAATAAAATAAAAAACTTACTTACACTTACAGACATTTTTATTTTATACCTATCGAAGTCATTTAAAATGTGTCGCTTTAGCCTACACCAACACTCATTAAAATACTAATCGAAAAACAAAGAAACATTGAGTTCTGCTCAGCCAACAGAAAGAAGGCAGAGGCCCGAAAAACAGGTGGAGGGCCACCTCCACCACCTCTGCGAGAGGCGGAGGCGCTGGCCCTCAGCCAAAACAGTGGTCGCCCGGTGGCTAAAGGTAACCGTGAGCCTACATCAGAAGTATACACTTCTTTAAAAAAAATAAAACTAATATATACATTACTGTTCACAGGTTTGGGGTCACCCAGACAATTTTGTGTTTTCCATGAAAACTCACACTTTTATTTATTAAATGAGTTGGAAAAATTAATAGAAAATATAGCCAAGACATTGAAAAGATTAGAAATGATTCTTATTTGAAATATTACTTTTGTTCTTCAAACTTTGTCAAAGAATGCTACATTTGCAGCAATTACAGCTTTGCAGACATTTGGCATTCTAGCTGTTCATTTGTTGAGGTAATCTGTGAAAATGTAGACAATTAGCAAACTCAATGTCCCATTGGAAGACTGGAGTGATAGTTGCTGGAAATGGGCCTCTATACACCGATGTAGATATTTCATTAAAAACTAGATGTTTCCACCTAGAATAGTCATTTACCACATTAACAATGTATAGAGTGTATTTCTGATTCATTTAATCATTTAATTGAAAAAAGTGCTTTTCTTTGAAAAATAAGGACATTTCTAAGTGACCCCAAACTTTTGAACGTGTGTGTATATATATATAGAGCCTACTTTTTAAATAATGTATATATCCACCCACCCAACAGTTGTGGATGGTGTCATGTGCACAGTTGTAAACCCTGCAGATACTCAGATCTTGCCTTAGATGATAGTTAAAAGTATTCAGAAACAGTATCTTGAGCAATAGGAGGATGATGATGATGAGGAGGAGGAAACGCTGTCTGCTGCCACAGGGAGCGATCCGGAGAGGCCTACTGAAGTGTGTCTTAATCTTATCTACTGGCAGTGCTCTGCCCATTCACATTCTAGCTTGAAACAGTGAGATTTTCGGGCAAAATACCATGTTAAATCTGTATGTGGAACTGTAGGAATTAAATGTCGTCCATATGTTTCCTAGTTACCAGTAAAGCGGTAGCGTTCTAACAGAAATTCCTCTGGAAATGATAAAACGTCTAATCTGGGTCGGAAGACTCTCTCGCGACGTGAAGCATTTCGAATCACTATGGCTTCGATGTCAATTGGATTTGGTAGGAACGGGCGATCCATGTCTACCAGCTTTCTTCATGTGGGAGGAGACGGGTAGAAACTCTGTGTTTCTTATAGTAAACTTGCCAGCGAGCAGGTTACGTTCACAGAGTCTGTTACCATGGTGATTGACTCAGAGTTTCAGTTACCTCTCTATCTGGAACGGATAACTCAGAGTTTCCCTGATTTCAGGGTTAAGTTTTCACACAACCCGCTTTCTGGAACACCCCCTAGCTCTCCATCTTTGTTGTTGATTGTTGTTGCAGCCTCTTCTAAGTGAGACATAATAGAACTAATGCTGTATTGGGATTCAGTCGGGGACTCTCAGTGAGGTTAAGATAGTATGAAGGCTCCACCTTTCAAACCGTCAGCCATATCTAGGAGTCAGATGATACATCTGAGGGGTTTGATTGCAATTAACGCCATAGGGCAGCAGAACAATTATATTATGCTACGTAGACAACGCTCTTTCGCTCTTCTCATAGAATAAGGCTTGAAAAGCTGGATAACTCTTGTATTGCTCACATACAGGTGCAACTTGTGAAGAGGGAACCACGGGTCCTGAGGACTTCAGAAAGATCCACAGAATGTTTTTCCTTTCATATTGTTCCAATTACATTTTAATTATACATCTTCAATGTGGGTGAAAAAGGCCGGTTTAAGATGAGAATATTTTTACCTGTGTGGATGTGGATTTCAGAGCTAACCGTGCAACGGTGCTCAGGATGATGAGGAGCACAGCCACACACACCGAGGAAGTGAGCAATACGCATTCAACTGCAATCAGCCGTTTCTAGAGCCAGAGCAAAGCAGAACAGAAAGTTATCCCCCTCAGCTGGAATGTGTCCATTCAGCATAAAACATATTTGCTAAGACTCACCCGGTTGTGATAGCCCCAGAGGTGCCTCAACGTGAGCATTTTGCAGAGCACAATCCGGTTGATAATGGAGACCACGAGTCCCAAAAGGGAAACCACATACATGGCCAAACATACAGTGACCTGGGAGAGACACAATGAGGTGAGTGGTTAAGAAAGAACGAGTGGTACACTAGAAGTGAAACACTAGATGAGTAAATCAAAAAGTATCTACCATCTTCTTGGATGGACGTATCTCACTGTAGATGGACAGGTTTCCACAGACAAGGAACTTCAAACAAACACAAAAAAAGGATGATCACATTATTTTTCATTCAAAGTGCATTAATGATTGCTCGTGGCCTTTCAGGCCCTGGTCACATGACTGTGGAAGTAATCAAAGCTCCTCTCTACTGGAGTAGGAAGTTGAAGAGCAAATTTGAATGCATTTTAAACTATTTGTCTAAGATAAAGCTTTTTTTTGCCAAGTTGGATGAGTGGCTGGTATCAATCTCAATTTCTAACTTCGAATAAAGGGAAAAGGAAAGAGAGAGAAACAACAGCAAAATGTTAAACCTGTGAATTTTGAGACTACGTTTTCGAGGGCTTTAACGATCCACTGTGATACTATAGATTGACATTTTGAAGAGAAGCACATGTGCCAAGTGTTATGTACCAAAGCTCCTTGCCAGAAGGTGATATAGATCCTATCAGAAAGGGACTCGCTTTGACCGGCCAACACAAATCCCATCAGAACCTCTGCACAGCCAAAGATGAGAATGACAATCTGGGAACGAGAGGGATGGAATGATTTCAGTAAAACTAAGCAAACACAAGTAAACATCCATTGTGGCCCTGTTGTGCATCACGTGTTACCCCGAGACTCCTGGGCTCTCTCTGGACGAAGCGATGCAGAGGTTTGCTGGACATCAGCAGCACGGGGTCTGACGCCTGGTTTCCATCCTGCCCCGTTGCTCTGTCTCCAGTTGTTGACTCCCTTTCCACCATTGCCACACTGTTAGGTTGAGGGAGGAGGGAGAAAAACAGGCAAACAAGATGTATTCTCTCCACTAAAAACAGTTGGAAAGAGGCAGAAATGAAAAACTAAGAGTCTCAAAGAATGCAGCTGTGTTTTGTAGAAAGTTTCCCATGCAGAGAAGACGCACGGAAGATAACGGGAAGGACTGTCACGGGTGGAAAGAGGAAGTGGGGAAATCTGAGACTTGTTTTGTTCATTGAAGGGAGGAGCTGAACTCCTTGCAGGGAACAAGCAGCTGTTAAATAACACGTTATGGAGTTTTTAAAAGTGAGCATTATTTTGAAAGTCAACCTGACGTCACTCTAAAAGAAACGCTTCTTATTGAACATAGATTATTGTCAGGTGGATGGATTATTGATGTTCATGCTGCTCCTTGATCAAAGACACATGTTTCTGCTGGTATCTGTTCAGAAAACAAAGAAAGCAGATGTCAACTTGCCTCGTAATGTTATGATTGTGGAGGATGACTTATTTTTTTACAACAAACAAAATACAATGTTAGTGCCCTAGCAGTGGCAAACAGCTTTGCTTTTATAATTAATTACATGTTTTAATTATTTTATTTAATTACGTTCAGATTTAAAAGATATGTTGTGCTACTATTTTAAAGAGAATACCACTGTTTAAAAGCCCCTAATTTGCTTTGAGTGCGAACACTCAAACAATTTTACAATTAATCTCACGCATATAACCACAATTAAAAATTGTAATCGATGCCATCATGAATATAAATAAAAGTATCTATCATTGCACTGATGATAAATAATCAAAAATTAGTTTTTTTGCAGATGGGTGTGGACAGAAGTAGGGTTTCAATTAATGTAATTATCAATTAATTTGCTGATTATAGGTTGATTATAATTATAATCTATGGAAATAATTCCTGTTAATCACCGGAGGGTTGAACTATTGAATTAATAGAATTGTTTGTTTTTTTATATAATATCTTCAATATTAATCCTTATTCCTAACTAACAAACACAAGTGAAATATTTTTATCCAGAGAATAATTTACTCAAACTTGAATCTTAAATATGTAATTTATTTCATGAAAGTACAGTTTTCACTGGCAATGCAATATTGGCTCAAAATACCATCACGAAAACCCCCAAAATGTGCTTTAGCGATCCTTTTGACAACATACAGTATGTTTAGTCATATAGAATGATCAAATATTTCATCTTTACATACATTAAAATACCATTCATGGGAGTAGAGCAGAAACCACTTAATTGTATTAAAAATGACTTTAAACATTGTTTGTACATGATTATTCCAGGCCTCTCGAGTGTCTCCTCATTGCAGCCTCATTGCACTGCACTGAGTACGTGGACATCTGATGCCTCCCAGTTGTCTCAGGAACACGGGACGTTTTCCTGCAGCAAACCGTTGATAGACGGTTATTTAAGAAAAATCAGATCAATCTGCCCGATTTCAACAACCAGAACAACCAGCCAACCAGAACCAGAACACAGCGTTTACCGAGCAGTAAGAAGAGCAGGACAGCAGGTGGCGCTCCAGGAGATGAGTTGCTCTTCGTCTAATCGCTCCTTCACCGTTGTACTGAAGGGCTTCCAACAGTGGAAACCCGCCTTGCTTCACAAACTCCTCTGCCACCTTCAGGGAATAAGTGACATAAGGTTAACCCAGTGACATCAGCCAGCTACTGTAGGTTGCAACTACAGTAGCTGGCTGAAAGCTCTTGGTTATCAGGTGTGGTCGTCCCTACTGAGCTACTGCAGTCATTTACCTGTGGACCACCAACTACCAGCATGTACAGGACATCCATACTCAAGGTCACCATCTCTTGGTCGGCCATTTTAAGTGTGGCACAGAGAGCAGACAGCAACCCACAACGGGTCAGCTGAGCACAGAAATGCTTTTTCTTGTGCGCAATATTTGCTAGAATCCTCAGGATCTAACAAAAGTGTAACAAACAAATAGGGGGGGTATGAGTAATGAGGGACTCAAAGAAAAAGAAAACAAAGATTGCAAACACACTGTTCATCATCAAGTGCTAGACAGAAATATTGTATGAAATATCAAAAGTATAAGACCATTGTATTGATGCCCTGGGAGAAAGGGAGGAGCTTCATCAGTCCAGGCACCAAGTTGAGCGTCAGCAGAGCAGAGCAGGAAGCGCTGGAGAGAGCTGCAGCAGCCCGACGGAAAATGCATTGGAGCACACGAACGACTAATAAATACAGCAGTCAACGCGGTACACTGGGTTCCTTCAGCTTTGAGAGAATCTTTTAAAAACACATTTGTAAGCCTTGTAAACATGGCAGATGCCATATGAATAAAGCCAAACACATATTTTAGTTAGAATTACGATGGGGTGAAGTTTTGTTCCACTGCACAGGTGTCAAGTGACCCGAAATAAATTGAGCATCTTTTTGGGTGACACATCTATAACACACAACAAGGGAATACAGTCAAGAGAAATCCCATTTTACATTATCTAAAGACCAAAATCCCCTTGGACAGATGTTTTTTAAGGATCCAGCATCAATCGCGTGCGACTACAACAGGTTGCTCAAACCTGTGAGGTTGTTGAGGACCCAGGCGCTCTCTCTCGCCAGGGCCGGCCGGCTCTGCAGGAAGGCCTGAACTAGTGTGCAGAGAGCAGCCACGATACGAACGTCACCAGCTTGAGTGCTCAGCTCCTTCACTGGACAGGAGGACAGAAGGTTTCCCACGCACCTCAGCAGGGGACAGATGAACTAGAGAGGAACGATCGAAAACCCCCATGTCAGTGAAAAAGGACTTGCTGGGGCCCACCAGTCTGGGGTCGTCGTTGGGGTAAATTTGTGTAGCAGAAAAAAAGAAGAAAAAAGGCTCAAAATGGTGGAAAAACAATCTGTAAATAGCTGTGACTTATTTGGAAAGATTCATCTGGATCCACTGAGAAATTTGTTTTGGTGAATTACGGTTCAAAAGTTGAAAGTCGTTCTGTCCATGCCGCTAAGATAATACAACCACCGGCCGTTATAAAAAACTTCATAGACATTCTACAAAACCAATGTCAAAAAATGCTGGTAGGCATGAGCGGTCTGTAGAATTTAAAAACAGAACAGGCTACAAAACAAAAACAAGGGCCGTCGTATTTAATCCATTAATTCTCTTACCAGTTCCAGTCCTTCTTCTTTGTTTCCTTCAGCCACAGCACCACCTAGTGACACTAACAGGGAACTGCACTGCAACAAAGCCCCATGAGCCAACAGCTCTCTGTTGTCCTTCATGCTATTGAAAGAGATAAAGGCAGAAGAGAGACAGAGCTCTATATTGAAGACTAACTTAATACTGTATAAGAGACTGTTGACCTCTCTCTCTCTCTCTCTCTCACCTGCACGCGAGGTAGTGCAAACACCATGCACACTCAATGGCGGGCGCCAAGCCAAACTTGGGGTCAGGAGTCAGGACTGATAGCAAGTTTGAGGGTAAGCTGGAAGCGAGGACCGCCCTGCAGACCCAGAGGAATGTCATGCAACAGACAAATGTTTACCATAAGCAAGGCCTCACAAGAGAAATAATAGGAACATTTCCAGAGTGAACAGCAATGAAAAGAATAGGAAGATAAACTGGTGTCATTACGGAATTATCTTCTCTGCTGCATTTTTAGCCTGGAGGAACTGAGAGAGGGTGAATCCCACGGCTTCCACCACCGCCAGGTTATGTCTCTGGTTCTAGACGGACACGCGGGAAACATCAAGTCGGACGTGTTACTTTATTTGATCATCTTCGTTACTACATGTTGGGGAGTAAGTTCGCAGCTGATACAAATTTGATTTAGGTTCAATCTCTTAGCAAAAAGAAATATATTATAAGTTATCTGCATTATTTCCTTATGCATGTTTTCTATTATAAGGGGTTAAAATAGGAGAAACTAAAAACCGGGACCTGAACCCTAAAATTGAAAACAGAATATCTTTGTTACAGAAGTAACAAAATAGTAGAATAGTCGGTGAATCTATTATTATTTGATAAAGATTTACTGACATAATAACAAAGCGCATAACAATACATAGTGGAGATAGAGGTGGTATTACAATTATCTTGAAGAGTGAGTTTACCTCTAAACAGCTAGCCAGAGCTGGAATGATTCCCTGGGCCAGGAGCTTCTCTTTTACAGCATCGCTGTCTGGGCATAAGTTACCAAGCGTGTACAGACACAGCTCCTGTGTACACATGAACATACACACATGAGAAGGTAAAATCCCCTGCATGACTACGAGATATCTCACCTGGTATGAGAGGCTACTCACAGAGAACTTGGTGCTCTGGCCAGACAGGTAGGTGAGCAGGTAGGGGGTGGCAGGCAGACAGGCCGACGACACGCTGGCGTGGGGAGAGTGAGACAGCTCATGAAGGCACCGGACGGCCTGCAGACGGCAAGTAGCATCTGAGCCAGTGAGGAAACCCACCAGCAGATGCATGCTATTCTCCTGCCTGGAGGGGGGACATTTTATCAGGTTATTAAAGGGACACGCAGATAAGCATGTCACTAATGTAATTCAACATTGCCTTCGATGTGGCGACAAAAGGTCACCGCCGTACTTGAGGAAGGCGAGCTGCGCTGATGGGTCCCGGAGAACTTTGCTCAAAGCTTCCAGGTGGGCCTCCCTCCCCAGCCCGCCGTGTTGGAGTTTGAGGAACAAACCGACCGCGTCCTAGGAAGAAGGAGCACATTCAGATGGTAAGTCACACGTGACCTACCAAGGCACGCTCCGCTATCGTCTGTCGCACCTGTTCCCCCGTGTTGGTGTCCATGGTGACCTCCGGCTGGTCCTCATCGTCGTTAAGCAGGAGGCGCTTGCTCACAAGCTGCCTGTCCCTGCGGGCTTGTCTCAGCGCTACAACCGTTCAACACAAAAGACAAAGATCACCTTCTGCTCCGGTCATCTGAGAGAGCGGAGCCAAGAAAGCCTACTTTTCAGTGTAAAGATACTTGTTAAATGTCATTAAAGTGTCACACAGCAGGAAGATAAATATCACATTGACTGAAAGATCTCACCATAGCTGGAGGAATTCAGTTACAGATGTGATTTTAGAATCATGACTACTTATCCCTTTGTATTTGTGTCCTCTATGTATTAAATATTGTGTCTTGAGTATTAAACTGTCCAAATCTTCGAAGGAAGCTTCTGGGTTAAATGAATGCGTAATGTTTGACACGTTCCGACCTCTGACCTTTTTGTTGGATCGGTTTATGCAGTAACCAAACGTGACAGGCGAAGTAAGCTTAAGGTGATGGCAACTTTCCTTACTGTTAAGTCACGTTAAGTTAGTTAACGTTAACTAACGTTACACGTGACGTTGCAGCCTTTCCTTCGGGACGACTAAACGTAAACCTCGTTTCAATGTAGAGCAATCGGCTTGTTGACTAAGCACTAAGTATGGAAAATAACATTAACGATCAAGTTCTTCATAACGGTACCCAACATACCGCCGCTGAACTCTCACCTCTCTCATGTTCTCGCCGTTTTAATTTGAGCTCCTCCAAACTGTCGCCATGACGAACAGCTTTGTGGCGAACTTTGTTTAACCGCCACATTGGGTGAATGTCGAGGTGAATGTGAAAGCGGCCCAGAAAAAAGTTCTAAAATCAATGCCGCGTAAAGTCAGCTACTCGGTAAAAACCATCGAGGGAAGCTAACGTCGTTGGCGGCAGCGGCGGCGGCAGCAGCAGCAGCAGCAGCAGCACGGGAGCTGCGAGGTTGGAGTGTCACAGCAGGCGGCGCCATGACGTTAATAGGCCGAGGGGTGAGATGGCGTGACGCATGCGCAGTGAAAAGGGAACTACAACGTTGGAGGTTCGCCGCAGGCGGCGGTAGAGCACAGCTTAAACAGTTAGCCTGTACGACGCATGCGCAGTGCGGGTGACTGGGCCCGCCACAGCAGATGGCGCTACGGTGCAGGTCGAACAGTGTGTGACGCATGCGCAGTGTAAAACATTTTGGCGGTTTACTGAAGGCGGCACTACAATGGTTATCTAGTTGATTATTTAATGGAACTGGAAGATGTTAATGTAGAAGAGACGGGCCAAAAATAAATAGATGTACAGCATCTGTCACTTGATGTCACTAGCCGTCAGTCCTGCAACAAACACTGCATAAAATAAGCCCTGCATGTGGGTCCTATATGCCAATCAGGAATTTAAGTTCTTTCTTCCGAGACCTCAGCCAGCTGCAGACACCAACAACCTGAACACGCTGCATTCATCTTCTCTCCGTCCACATGGGGTTTAATTTGTATTAAATACACCTATTTACAATGAAATCAAGAAAGCTTTATCAAACGTTTAAAAAAACATTTTTCAAAACACGGGTACAAAAAAAACACAGGTATACCCAATAAAAAAAGTTGCAGTTCAATTTGTTTTCAGATGTTTAAAAATATATATATAAAACAGGTCAAAAAATGTTTTGAGTGAAGACTGTCATGAAATGCGCTTAAAAGGGACATTTTCTCAATCCAAGACATCTTGAGAGGGGACATGTTTTACATACAGCAATGAGTTATTCATCCCTTTAAAATGTTCATGACATTAAAATGACATATCAGATAAAAACCAAAATAAAAAAAACTGTATTGTATGCCACACACAGTGGAACTCATATAAATGTATTAAAATAAAAAACTATTCACGCCTTTCATTTCATCCTTTGAACCATTAAAAAAATGACATGAAGTGGAGAATAAAGGATCCGTTGCCTTCATCCTTTTGATCTGATGAAGAATCAAACATCTTCGAGACTCTGCGTTTGTGGAGGATTTTTTTTCTGTGAAGAAATACGGAACGGAATTCCAAAAAGAGACTTGAGTAAGTGAAGAATCATCGTCTAGAGCTCAAACTGACAAGAGTGGGCAAAGAGCACAGCGTCATGGTACCTTCTTGTGGGGCGGGTCACCGGGTAGTGGTTGTGTTCCTGCAACGTCTTCGATGGAAACTTTGACTTCAACTGATTGCGCCTGGATTTTCTCTGAGAGAACGGTGAATGAAAAAGTGAATGCAAACTTGCACAGTAAGAAATTGCAATCATTGTTTTTTTTTATTATGAAGGTGAGCTATTTACTCACTTTTCTTCTTCTCTGCTGAAGGGCTTGATGTTTCAGTGTTGGGGGGAGCTAGAAGCTCGGTGTAATTATTTTTCAATAATGCATTCTTTTTCTTCTTCCTCTTCATTTCAGTATTCTGCGGTGGATTTTCCTCGCTGTAAATGACCGTTGTCTTTGCATCTCCTTCAGCTCTCCCCTCCAACACCTCCTCAAGATGATCGGCTATGTGCTTTTTTTTAATTTTCTTCTCTTCAACTATCTGGTTTCTTATCTCTTGCTCTGGGTCTTTAGCCTGCTTCTCCTCTATACTTTCTTTATCTTTTCCATCTCCCCCAGTCTCATGTGTAGTCTCTTCCACATTTCCTCCAGTCATCTTTTTCTTTTTCTTCTTCTTTTGGGGCTCAGATGTCATCTCATCCGTTTCTTGTGTCTCCTTTTTACTGTCTTTATCTTTTCCATCGCCCGCCATCTCATGTGTAGTCTCTTCCACATTTCCTCCAGTCATCTTTTTCTTCTTCTTCTTCTTCTTTTGGGGCTCAGATGTCGTCTCATCCGTTTCTTGTGTCTCCTCTATACTGTCTTTATCTTTTCCATCGCCCGCCGTCTCATGTGTAGTCTCTTCCACATTTCTTCCAGTCATCTTTTTCTTCTTCTTCTTCTTCTTTTGGGGCTCAGATGTCATCTCATCCGTTTCTTGTGTCTCCTCTATACTGTCTTTATCTTTTCCATCGCCCGCCGTCTCATGTGTAGTCTCTTCCACATTTCTTCCAGTCATCTTTTTCTTCTTCTTCTTCTTCTTTTGGGGCTCAGATGTCATCTCATCCGTTTCTTGTGTCTCCTCTATACTGTCTTTATCTTTTCCATTGCCCGCCGTCTCATGTGTAGTCTCCACATTTCCTCCAGTCATCTTCTTTTTCTTCTTCTTTTGGGGCTCAGATGTCATCTCATCCGTTTCTTGTGTCTCCTCTTTACTGTCTATATCTTTTCCATCGCCCCCCGTCTCATGTGTAGTCTCTTCCACATTTCCTTCAGTCATCTCCACCCTTCTCCTCTTCTTCTTCTTCTTCTGGGACTCCGGCATTGTCTCATCAGTTTTGTCTTTACTAGGAGTCACATCTTTCCTTTCCACTTTCTCTGGTGTCCGTTTTGACGGGGAAGGGACGGGTGTCGCAAGTCGGTCTCCTACAGCGATCGGGGGGGCGCAGGAGGTGCCAAGGGCAGTCTTTTTGGGCCTGCTCCTTTTGGCTGTAATGTTCTTTGTTGAGGATTCTGCCATAGCCTTCTCCTCCACCTGTCCATCCTTTCCACTTCCACCGTTATTCTGTTGGACAGGAGCGTCTCTTTTAGCGGGGGGCTTGGCCCGGGGCGTCCTCACCCTCTTTTTCCGGGGTGGTGGCGCAGACGACTCCAGAGCATTGATGGTCTCCATCTTGGCTAAGTCGGACTCTGTGGAAAGAGTAAAGTAGGTGGGCACACTGGAAAAACGGCCACACAGCTACTGTGCACAGCTGAAATCACAGTTTCCCGTGGCGAGCCTGTCCTCGGGACGGAGTGTCCTGTTTTGGGGTCGTTTCTTTCTCTCCCTTTAAGAGAGAGGACAGCTCTCCCCGTCTTTTCATTCTGCACTTCCCAACCCTCCTAACTTCCATTCCGTCTTTTTCTAATGTGTAAAAAACACGGAAGTCATTTCCGTGCTTGATCTTTGGGAATCTTAACAGTAGCTTAATGTGATGAAAAGGGATCTGGTCTGAGGCGCAGAAATGAAATAATGCTTGCAAAACAGATTCCGTTAATCATGCACACTATGCATTCTAATTCTGATGATGCCTTCAATAATAACATCTCTCTCTCTCTCTCTCACACCTACCGGTCATCTGGAAGATCAGTTTCTTCCATTTATCTAAATCCAGACTGCTGTCTGAGTCTGAATTATCTCCTCCAGCAGCCACAACCTTGTTTTTTGATTGCGTCTTGGTTTTTTTTGCCTTGGGGACATTTTCTGCAGACGTTCCATCACTTTTTTTCCTTTTTGCTGGCACAGACTAAACAAATAGAAAATAGAGGACAGGCTAGTCAGTAGTTATTGCACATGAACAACTGACAGGCTTTGAAAAGTGGAATACATGTCTTATAAAAATGGAAGAAAAAGATAAATCACCTTTTTTGGTTTCTCTGCAGATTTGTCTTTTTTCTTTGTCTTGGCTGGACATGAAGAAACGTGTGTAAAATGGGTTAATGGGCATTCAAACGCACATTCAGACTCTCTCTCCTCACTTTGTACCAGCGGTCCTGTCATGACTGTTGCTGGAGCTTCACGACTTGTATTGAACGTTGAGCAATAATGTCAATTTAAGAGTTCAGCTTTAAGCACTAAATAAGAAAGCACCAAGAAGTCATCCTAAAACGAGTCATATGGATCGAACCGAAAAGTCTGACAAGTTTTTAGGGTTCTCTGTCACACAATATTACAGCTCCAGAAGCCTCAACAGCCCCACACATTGTCATTTTGACAGGAATATGACATGAAATGACAATGTTTTTTATAGACCTGCGTGTTTCAGCTCATGGTTTTCATCAGGACGATCCATTTCAAGAGAAAGAGCAGCCATACCTTTAGTTAGTGTTCTTTCTTGTGCTTCAAAACCAGAGTGCTTATACGAATTTGGCATCTTCTTCTTCTTTGAGCCACTGACGAGAAAGGAAACACTATTTAGCACACGTTTCATCACCACCAACAAAGTACAGTTACGATTTTTGAGAAATCATACTTACGTCAACCACGAATTGTAGATGTCCAATAAAGATGCAGATGTTTTAGACTCCTCCTGCAAACGCGAAACGCCAAATTGTTCAATATGGAACCAGCGGTTTATTAGGTAGGTTCATTAACCTTGTGTAAATAGCCTCTAAGGCACTGGAGCAGAGAGAGAGAAAAAAAACCTTCCCACATGACTTATGACTCATCTTTTTAGGAATGACATTTAGCAGGAAAAGCACATATGAAACTAATGCATTCAAGCTTTAATGGTAAAATGACTGGACACAACAAGGTGCAAAATAATAAGAACAGTCGAAGAACAGCACGGGGTCCAACAGGGAAGGAGTGTAGAAAAGGAAACGTAACAACGTTACACTATAAATACATGTGATCAATGCAGATGCTGACTGGCATAATACTAAATCATTTTGGTGAAACAACTGAAACAAAACATTGTTGCAAACGTCTGCAGCTACAGTATGATTGCGTGTGTGCGCGTGTGTGTGTGTGCGCGCGCGCGCGTGCGTGCGTGTCGACCTGTGGGCTGAGCCTCTGTAGCTCATCTGCAGCGGAGTGTAAGCCATGCTCCTTCAAATGTCGGTAGATCAGCTGGGTCAGCTCGTGCTTTGATGCGTTCACTGACATGTTCGACACACGAAACGCGAGAAGAAAAGAAAACGCAGGTACAGATCAACTTCCAAGCAGCGTGAACTTAAAACTGGCCGCACACTTCCTTGGCATTGCTACTCCAATGGAAGACGCATGTTAGCGCTGAACTCTGCACTCAGGAAGTGGTTCGCACTGCCGCTGCAATGCACCATGGGGGATGTAGGCTCTTTCTCAAAACCTAAGACAGCGACAACGGGCACAGTCAGCGCCGGCGCTCCGCACACGCACATCACGCACTGAGCGTAGGGCACCAAGTGCCTGGGGGGGCATCAAAAAATCTTGGACGTCATAAATCATCACAGTAGGCTAATAGTATAAATAACAAATACAATATGTCTAAAGCATGTTAATATGCAAAAGCAATACAAAAGTAATAGGCCTAGACCAAATTAGTGGAGAAAAAGGGGAACCCTCTGTGGTTGTTATTCCTTTGGTGGTGGTGGTGGTTGGTTCGTTCGTTGGTTGGAGGGGGCACCACCAAGCATTTGTGCTTAGGGCACCCAATTGGCCAGGGCCGGCCCTGGACACAGTGATCACTGATGCTACAGTTAGATAGGTGACATCATGGTTAACATTGCATTTAATATCTATGACACAGTGATCACTGAGGCTACAGTTCAATAGGTGACATCATGGTTAACATTGCATTTAATATCTATGACACAGTGATCACTGAGGCTACAGTTAAATAGGTGACATCATGGTTAACATTGCATTTAATATCTATGACACAGTGATCACTGAGGCTACAGTTCAATAGGTGACATCATGGTTAACATTGCATTTAATATCTATGACACAGTGATCACTGAGGCTACAGTTAAATAGGTGACATCATGGTTAACATTGCATTTAATATCTATGACACAGTGATCACTGAGGCTACAGTTAAAGAGGTTGTTACGAAGGACGCTCCCGCACCGCCTCCCTCTCGCCATCGGAGGGACCCCTCTCCCGAGTACTAACTGGTTTCGAACTCCATCTCCCATCATGCTTCACACCTGGGACTGATTCCACAACACCACTGATGACACACACACCTGCACCTCATTGACACACACACCTGCACCTCATTGACACACACACAAAAGCCACTGACACCCACACACTCACTGCGAAGTCTTGATTCTGCCCCGGCTGTCATTTCTGAGCGTTTTCTCCTAGTCTTGATCCCTGTTTAGTGACCCCGGACCGTACTGCTGATTGCTCTCTGCCTGCCCCGACCCCTGCCTGCCCGCTGACTACGATCCTGTCTGCTCTACGTTGCCCTGTCTGCTGTCATTGACTCTGCCTGTCTGATGCTCTGATAAAAACCTGCGAATGGACGCCACCGAATCCTCCTCCCAATGCCTCCCCAGCGACCGTAAACCATTCTATTAATCCTCGTCTGGCTCTTCCGGAAAAGTTTGATGGCACTGCTGTAAAATGTAGAGGCTTTCTTCACCAATGCACACTCTTCGTCGACCAACAACCCTCGATGTATCCAACGGATTCGAGTCGGATAGCTTTCATCAGCTCGCTACTCACCGGGAGGGCGTTGGAGTGGGCGACCGCCGTCTGGAGACCCGACGGATCTGCGTTCCCCACGTTCACCAACTTCCTGCTACAGTTCCGCAACGTGTTCGAACACCCCACTGAATGCGGGGAAGCCGGGGAGCAGCTGCTCGAACTGACCCAGGGGAGGAGAACCGCAGCTGAGTATTCTTTATCTTTCCGCACACTCGCTGCGCAAACCAACTGGGTCGAGGACACACTGAAGACCCTGTTTCGCAAAGGTTTGTCTGCCGAACTACAATCGGAGCTGGCCTGTCGGGACGAGGGAAGAGGGTTGGACGAATACATTAACCTGGCCATTCAAATCGACAACTTGATTCGTTCACGGCGTCCTAACCGGTATCCACCCCGGCTCACACGGGAGACCTCCGCCACACCTGAACCCATGCAACTAGGCGTCACTCGCCTCACTCAGGAGGAACGTGAACGCCGCTTGCAGAAACATCTGTGTCTCTACTGCGGACAGACCGGACACCTGCGGGCCGCCTGCCCAGTACGTCCTCCTAACGATCCCCAATCGGTGAGTGCGATCCCCAAATCTAGCACACTAAATTCCTGCTTCATTCTACCCATTCGTTTGCTGGTTCGGGGCAAAGTTATCCCAACCACAGCGCTACTGGACTCTGGGGCCGCGGGGAATTTCATGTCACGTGAGTTTGCCACTAACCACCAGTTGAGGTTTAATTCTTGTGGTTCCTCCCTCACAGTGGAGGCGCTAGACGGCCGACCGCTAGGGGAGGGGAGAGTACAACACCTCACCGAAGAGATCAACATGCACGTCGGTGCACTACATTCGGAGAGGATCAAGTTCTACGTTATCCAGGCTCGCAACCACTCTGTGATTTTGGGCCTGCCCTGGCTACGCACCCATAACCCACACATCTCCTGGAGAGAGAATCAGATCACACAATGGGACACTTCATGTCACAACCACTGCCTAACCAGGGTACCCCGTGCACCCCATCACCCTCCAGAACCCGTCAACCCCGGGTCAACAGAACAGAATCTGCCACCCGAATACGCCGACCTCGCTGAGGCCTTCTGCAAGAGGAGGGCTGCTCAACTCCCCGAACATCGTCCAATCGACTGTGCCATAGACCTACTGCCAGGCACCTCTCCCCCCAAGGGGAGAATATTCCCTCTGTCACAACCCGAGTCACAAGCGATGAGGAACTACATCGAGGAGGAATTAGCAAAGGGGTTTCTTCGACCATCAACGTCACCGGCAGCGGCCGGGTTTTTCTTCGTTAAGAAAAAGGATGGATCCCTTCGCCCCTGCATCGATTATCGTGGACTTAATGACATCACTGTCAAGTATCGATACCCTCTGCCTCTCGTCCCAGCCGCCCTAGAACAACTCCGTCAAGCCCGATACTACACCAAACTAGACCTACGCAACGCATACAACCTGATTCGCATCCGTGAGGGTGACGAGTGGAAGACGGCATTCTCCACCACTAGCGGGCACTACGAATACCTGGTCATGCCGTTCGGCCTAGCGAACAGCCCATCCGTGTTCCAGTCCTTCATGAATGACATCTTCCGTGACATGCTGGAGAAATGGGTCATCGTCTACATCGACGACATACTGGTCTACTCCACCTCCATGGAGGAACACATCCAACATGTCCGACTTGTCCTGGAAAGACTCATTCAACACCAGCTCTATGCCAAAGCAGAGAAATGCGAGTTTCACCAGACCAGAACTGCATTCTTGGGGTATATAATCAGTCAGGAGGGGGTGGCCATGGACGAGAGGAAGGTTACGGCAGTGGCGAACTGGCCAGTGCCCCACACGGTGAAGGAACTGCAACGATTCCTGGGGTTCGCGAATTTCTACCGAAGATTCATCCGAAACTTCAGCACAGTGGCTGCTCCCCTAACCACCCTGACCAAGCGCCACACGCACCGCATCAACTGGTCCCAGGAGGCACAACACGCCTTCGACGAGCTACGGTCACGGTTCACCTCAGCACCCCTCCTGCGACACCCCGAGCTCCAATTCATAGTGGAGGTCGACGCCTCCAACACCGGAGTAGGGGCCATTCTCTCCCAGCGTCAAGGCACACCCGCCAGGATGTTCCCATGCGCCTACTTCTCTCGCAAACTAACCCCAGCCGAACGTAACTACGATGTGGGCAATCGTGAGTTACTGGCCATGAAACTGGCACTCGAGGAGTGGCGGCACTGGTTGGAGGGAGCGAACCAGCCATTCATCATTCTAACCGATCACAAGAATCTCGAATACCTTCGCTCCGCTAAACGTTTGGAACCCCGGCAAGCCAGATGGGCCCTCTTCTTCACGAGATTCCAGTTCACGGTAACCTATCGACCAGGCTCCAAGAATACGAAGGCCGACGCCCTCTCTCGCCAGACCGAGGGAGTTCCACCCACTGCAAGGGATAACATTATCCCGGAAAGCTTGCTCGTGGCGCCGGTTCAATGGGACATCATCACGGAGATCGAGCAGCTGAACCTTCGTCAAGCACCTCCCTCCGAATGTCCCGCAAATCTCCTCTTTGTTCCCGAGACGCTACGTTCACGACTCCTCGATCAGGTGCACTCGACCCCAAGCTCCGGACACCCCGGTATCACCGCCACAATTCAGCTCCTCAAGAACCGCTTCTGGTGGCCCACTCTGACTCCTGACACCACCCGACACGTGCAGAACTGCGCAAACTGCGCCACCTCCAAAACCCCCAGACAATTACCAGCCGGCCTACTAACACCACTACCCATACCCCAACGACCCTGGTCCCACATTGCCATAGACTTCATCACCGACCTACCCGCATCGCAGGGACATACCACCATCCTCACCATCGTAGACCGATTCTCCAAGGCCTGCCGACTCGTCCCACTACCCAAACTTCCCACAGCACTAGCCACTGCGGAACTGCTCTGCAACCAGGTCTTCCGTTTCTACGGACTACCGGAGGACATAGTGTCAGACCGGGGACCCCAATTCACCTCCAGAGTATGGTCCGCCTTCTTCCAACGCCTCAACGTTAACGTCAGCCTCACCTCCGGTTACCACCCACAATCCAATGGGCAGACTGAGCGTCTGAACCAGGACGTTATCCGTTTCCTCCGCTCATACTGCCAGCGACAACAGACGGAGTGGAGCAGATATCTATTCTGGGCCGAATACGCCCAGAATTCGCTGGTCAAACCCGCCACGGGCATCACCCCGTTCCAATGCGTCTTGGGCTTTCAGCCACCGCTATTCCCGTGGTCAGGGGAGCCCACTAACCTACCATCCGTTACAGAGTGGTTGCAGAGAAGCGAGGAGACTTGGAACCAGGCCCACTCACCTCCTCCACGCCGTTAGACGCCAGGAAGGTCAGGCCAACCGTCGCCGTCGTCCTGGTCCCCAGTACAGTCCCGGAGAGTGGGTCTGGCTCTCCACCAAAGACCTCCGACTTCGACTCCCATGTCGCAAGCTCAGCCCCAGGTATGAGGGTCCATTTCAAATTAAGAAGCAAATTACCCCTGTATCCTTTCGATTAGACCTACCCGCCAACTACCGTATTTCCCCTACATTCCATGTCTCCCTGCTAAAACCTGCCGATGGCCCGAGAGGAGCG